TGAAATTCATCCTCCAGAAGCCAGTTGTGGAGCATGCTAAAGAGGATGCTCATAGAGCGTGGCATGGGGGACAAGACCAGTTCGCAACAACAGCCCACCCCAGCAACCGTCATCCAGCTCCAAACGGCCACAGCCAGACCGGAGCAATCGAAAGAGGGAGGACAGGAAGGAAAGTGCTCGCGGAAGTCTGTTGCGTTTTTTTAATTTTTTAGCCACCGCCCGGATCTGACGAATGAGAATGATACCTGCAGGGTTATCCTGACGCATACAGCGTTTGGAACAACCTCCGTGGCTGAACAGCGCCAATAAGGCGTAGCTTCTGACGACGGTGGCGCAGCCTCGCAGTGATTCACAAGTGGCACAGCCTACTCGAACCGTGTGCCTCTACTACGCGGCGGCAATCTTTTTTTGGCACTTTGCCATGCGTGTGCGGATGTAAGGCCTTTTCACTGAACGGATGCAGGCTTTGACGAAAAAAACAGTTGGCCAAAGTTCAGCTTGAATTCCTTTTCCCGCGACGATTATCGGGTCCCTCGGGACAGCTCCTTCAGGTATTCAGGTATTCAGTCCAGGTACTCATATCATGTCAGGCCCTTACGGCCCACCGGTTGAACGACAAAAATGCCTAGTGTCGGACCCAACCAGACGGGAACTCAGGGAGACGGCTCCTCGGAGCTGAGGCTGGGGGAGGTCCCCACAATCAGTTGCGGCCAAAAGCTGTGGAGTAGAGGCCAGGTTCTACGAGTGCAGGTAGTTACCGGTGCCCGCTATGTGCAGAGCACGCTCACGCCACGTTCGATTGAAAATAGTATTATCTGTGTGGTGGGATGAGTGAAGGTCCTGTAAGGGCGTGAGAGCCTGACAGCGCCAAGGAACGAAGCGCGCAAAGGCGCCAGGTGCGCGAAGCAGGAGAAGCGAAGCACGCGAAGCATGCAAAGGCGCGAGGCGCGCGAAGGGCGCGAAGCGCACGAAGCACGCGAAGCACGTGAGCGCGAAGCGTGTGAAAGCATGAAGGGCACGCGTAAGCGCACGAAGCGAGCAAAGCGCGTGCAGGCTCGAAGCACGAAAGCACGAAGGCGCGAAGGTGCCAAGCCCTTGGGGCGCGCCTTATTACTGGCGAGCAGTAAGCGGAACGGACAGCCTAGCAGCTTATTGCATGGGGAGCATGGATGGACGCGCTTCCCGTCATCCGCCGGCGCAGCTGATCGAGCACGCGGCGGAGGGGACGATTTCCTGCGTGCTGCTGCGTGCTCTGCGGCTAGGAACTCGGGCGTTGTTACGGTCAGAAGGCGGGGCGCACGTTTTTTTTTTTGCTGGTTTTCCGAGCAAACCAGCATTAACCCTCGCCCCACAAGCCATGCAGCTCGCATTCCTCGCCTGCCCATGCACGGGTTGTTGGCACACCAAGCGGAGATAATCGAGCAAACCTGGCGTAGGTGTTGGTCGGATCCGATGCGCACGTCATCCCTCAACAATGGCTCGCGCATTGTGCCGCACCAGGAGTGCCTGCCGACGATCGCAGGCGGCTCGACTTGGCCGCATTTGCGATGCCGAGCGGGGGGTGCGTTGTGCCGGAGCCGCTGATACAGGGCCGTGCGCAAGGTCCACATATTCGGAGTTGTGCAGCGGAGGAGCTCAAGATTCGGAGGTTGGCGGGCGCTGGAATGGCGAGGCTGGGCACTTCGTGTTTTTTTATTCATCACTCCTTTTTCCGTCCGCAGCTGGGTCGCCACTACGGCCCTACGGCGGCACCGCCCAGACCTCGGACCGGCAGCTCCAGCAGGCTTGGGGCGTGCGCTCGCAGCGCCGCGAGCGCCGCGAGGGCCGTCCAGCGTCGAGTGAGCGCGGCCCCCGCGGCCACCCGCGCCCATGGTGCTCGGTCCCTGGCGCGAGCCCGAGCGAGTCGTCGGAGCAGTGCCAACGCTTGGCTGTCGAAGCGCCCGCATACCTCGAGTCCGAAGACCACCAAGCGACAACGTCTGTGCCCGCCTGGCTGGAGCTCGGGTTAGTGCGGAGCTTGCGCGTCTTGGCTTGCTGAAGTGCCAGCGCTGGCCTCACATCGGCTCCGGGTCGCGCGCGCCCGTCGCGCTGAACACACTGGCATCGCTTGGGCGCGAGCATGCGCGAGCAGCAGCGCCATGCGCAGCCTCCGCAGCAGCAGGACTCGGAACTCCGCGCTGGGTACAACGAAGTCCGGTCCGGTAGGGAGGATTGTGAGTGCAGAGCTGGCGCCCGCGCCGCTTTGGGACAGCAGCAGTGCTCGCGATGCAGAGTCTAACTCAGCGAAAAGTATCGCAAGCACGCGCTTGTCCACAGCGGTTCCAGCGCTGCGCTGCCAGCTCAGCCGTAGTTTCCTCATCCATAACGACCCTGAGGTGCTGATTCGTGCACCCGGACGGGCCCGCAGCCGCTCCACGTCGTGCCCTCCGCAAGTTGGTTAGCAAGTCTGCCTTGCAGATCTGGGCCGGCACGGCCGACAAGGGGTCAACACATGGGTGGATGGGCACCTGTGCTTCCGGAGGTCGGCGAACAGGGTCCCGGAGTGCTTGGAGCGTGTCAGCGGTGGCTGGTGCTAAGGGTGGAGCCGTGAGGGCTTTGGCAGCTGCGGACATCTCGCCGAGGTGAGCGAGCGCGGAGGCTCGGTCAGCTCGGCGCCGGATGTCACCCTCAGAGCCGGCTTCGGGGGGTCGACAGATGCCCTGAACCGGATTCGGACGTCGCCTCCCCAGCGCGCAGTTCCGTGTCCTCTTGCTGCGGCGCTTGCGCCTCCCCCTCCCGCCCGCACCGCGCAGATGCAGCTGCCACGGTGTGCTCGACCCGCTCGGCGACCACCGCACCGCCTGTGCGACGTCGGGCGTGCTCGCCACTCGCGCATTGCCCTTGGAGCATGCCGTCGCGCGCGTCTGCCGTGAAGCTGGCGCGCGGGTCGCACGCCACGTGCGGCTCGCAGACATGAACCTTGATGTTCCTGTCTCTGACGAGCGGCGCATCGAAGTTGTGGCGAACGGCTTGCCCCTCTGGCATGGCTCTCAACTCGCCGTCGATGCGACCATCGTCTCCCCCCTCACCAAACGCGGCGAGGCCCACCCGCGCGCCGACGTCCAGCCGGGCTGCGCGGTCGCCGCCGCCGCGCGCCGCAAGCGCACCCAAACCTACCCGGAGTTGGACCGAGCGCGCCGCTGTCGGCTAGTCGTCGTCGGCGTCGAAGTTGGCGGCAGGTTTGGTACCGAAGCCGTACAATTCCTGCGCCTCCTCGCTGGCCATCGGGCAGCGTCGGTGCCGGCCCACTTGCGGTCCGCCGCAGTCGCCTCCTGGGTCGCTCGCTGGTCCGGACTGTTGGCTGTCGCTGCCCAGCGCGCCTACGCAGCCACACTCCTCGAGCTCCCCCCTGCCGCCGAGCTCGGCGACGGGCCCGTGCCTGCCTTGCATGAGGTCCTTGCCGATGCGCGCTGGGGGTGAAGGCGCGCAGTCCCCCCTTCCCCAAGCTCCCTTCACCCGTACTGCGCAGGTAGCACAGGGACCCGGACGTCTCGTTTTGCAGTCGTCCAAAAGGTGCGTGGAAAAAAAAAAGAAAAAAAAAGAACCGGCTGGGCTGGTTGGGCCGCAGCTACGCTCTCGCGGAGCAGCTGTATCCAGCCGCCCTCGCAGAACAAACGCTGGCGGCGCTTGAACTCCTGAGGAGGCACGTGCGCTACGCCTGGCGTGCGAAAGAGCAACATGCGTGGGGCGAGAAGGAAAAGTTTCCATCCGTCGCGTTCTGTGTCTGTGGCTGCCTCATCCCGGATTGCCTCGAGCGAGACACGCAAAGCGTTCCGCAGCAGGCCACGGAGCTGACGCGGCGGGGATTGGAACGTGTACACGCGGTGCTCGAACTCGGCGGGCAGATCTATTTCGCGCAAACAGGGCAGGTGCCCTTGTAGAGGGGTCGCGAGTTTTAGCTGCTACAAAAGCTCCGCCCGCTCTCCGGCAGGCTTGGCCAGTGCCGCTCCACCATGCTCCACCCAGGCCAAAAGGACGAGCCGCCCGTCGAGCGAGTGCTTGAGCTCGCTGCCAGCGAGCACCAGTCTTTTGCCGCTGCGCTTGGAACGGTCCTGAGCGGGTACAGGAATGCATAGGAATAGATGCAGGTAGTAAGCTCGCCCCTTGAAGGGCGGAGGGGAGGTGCGGACAACAAAAAAACACTACACTGGTGTTCCTTTTGACATTTGCTGGAGCCGCCTGCAGGGTTGCCTTCGCGGTGGGGCTGCACTTGATCTTGGCGCGTACTTCTTTTCAGCGCCCCACAGTATGCCCATGCAAGCTCGTCGTCAGGCTCTTGACAGGTGCTGGCGAGCATGATGGGCGTTGGACCAACGAGGCATTGGATGTTGGTGGAGAGCAAGCTTCTTGGGCGCCTCGTGTGAGGGCCGCCCCAGCTTCCTCCTGCGGTCCCAGCATTTCGGCGGCTGCCACGCGTTTGCTGCAAGCCTTCTTTCCCGCCCTTTTGGCGGCACAGCCAATGTCGATGGCGAACCCCCGCTGCTGAGCGTTTTCCTCGCAAACTCCCCCCTTGAACAGCCCATTGCAAGCCTCATGCCCAACATAATGCTGCCTAGCTTTGGACGCCGGTTAAAAAGTTGTGTGGAGAAAACAACGACACCCGAGCGTTCTTGCATGGCATTATCTCCTCCTAAGTCTCTTCCGCGTTGCGACGCCATCCAACAATGCAGCGGAACATTTTCCGTCGGCGTACATCAAGCTGTTCAAGTTGGGGTAACATCAGTGCCAATGCAGAGAGTCCAAACGGAGTCCAGACAGTGTCGTAGGAGCGACCGTGGTATTGAAAAACTTCCGTTTGCCTTTGGTTTCACGAGTACGTGTCGCTTAAACATGGAAACATGCAAAAGGAGAGCCGGGCAGCGGTTGATTGTGGGGTTTTCTATGGATGATTGAAGATGCTATTATGTGTTTCTGGAAGTGGAGCGGCTCAATTGCAGAGTTTTTTTATATGAGGGTATGCAATGACATGCTCTCATGTAGCCGCTGTGCTGGCAATGATTCTCCTGCAAGCTGATGCAAAAGGTGGGACATCAGGGACAGGATCGCGGTCAGGGTCAGGAGGCGGAGGTGGTGCGACCAGCCGATCCTCCTTTCAGACTGCGTATGCGTACGGCACGTTTGTGATGCTGACGGCGGGAAGCCGACGCCGCTACGGCGTGTTCAATGACCCGAATGACCGGGGAGAGTGCCGCCTAGCATCCGAAGGGGAGATGCGTAGTGCTTGTGGCAACCTGATGTCTTCTGAAGAACGTTGCCATGCTTGCCTGCAGTGCGTAGATGAGTCCTGCATGGGGACGGTGGATAATTGTGATGAGTTCTTGTCTGCGTCGTTCCTGGAGTGCTGCGGTCCTGGGGACTGTGGCGTCTTGGCAAGCACATGATTTCTGTGATTTTTTGCTTTCGGGTAAATGCATGGATGGCCCTTGGCAGGTTGGCTGTCCAAGTCAGTTGCTCCAAAAGCCATTCCAACTTGTTTTGTTTCCTTTGACTTTCAGGAAAAACCTTAACGTTTCATTCCATTCCCATCCCAAGCCCATCCCCATCCCCAAGCATTGCTGCTGAAACGGAGGTCTCGAAGCTGGCGCCATTATCGGCATCATTTTAGGTGCCATTGCCCTCTTCGTCTGCTGTTGTGCCCCGGATTTCGGGCTTAAGCCCATTGGTTCATGGCTCACAAGTTCGGGTGAATCCAAGGCGAGGGTCTTGTTGTACAGGGTTGCTGATGGATGGACAAACGATCGCCTAATCCCCACAATTTCGAGACATGTCGATGATGCCCTTGATGACCTCGACTGCAAAGGCTCCGCAGCCACAAAGCTAGCAAGTTGTTGGAATGGTGTCCCGCGCGGGGGTGTTCGAGCTCGAAGGTTCAAAGGTCCGTGGTATACCACCATGGGGTACCTGGACAGTTAGGCAATGCATTACATCCGATTGCTGGCCACTGTAGTAGTAGCATCCCCTGTAATCCTCGTCCATCCAATTTTTGGATTCCATGCTGTTCTTCCTTCTCCAAGCCTCCATGTGGTTTTTACAATATTCAATTGTTCGAGTTGAGTGGTGCAATCTCCACGTTTGATGTTTGAATTAGATGTCCTGGCCGAGGTGAATGATTGCCCCAAGTCTCCGTGTAAAAATACACACTGCTGACTCAAAGCTCGCTTGCCCACCTGAGCATCCCCTTACTTAGATAAAAAATACTCCTGACTCTTTTCGCACTGCAATCTCTTTGAGGCTTCCTCGTATATCTCAAGATCCAGGAGTACGAAGGGGAGGACTCCGACCAACAGGAGCAGAAGGAGAAGGCCGAAGCCGACTCGAGTCTCCAGGCCGGGAGACCTCTGGAGAGTGTGTGGCGTCTAGAGGACGTAGGCGCACGTATACTAGCGGGCCAGCACATGGAATATGGTTCCTTTTTTAGGAATCAAAATTTTGATTTATTCCATCTGACGGTTTTCGTTCGCCGCGCGAAAACTGTATTCTAAACAACCCTTTCTTGGAATATATCGAGCAAAACTTCATAGAACACAAGCAAACATTGAGAATCTACTGTAAAAAACAAGGTTTGAGTGACTTTTGATATATGTTTACTTGAATCAACACATATACTAATATTCCAAGTGTGGCTTGCATACTGTAAGGGTTCGGATTCTTTTGGAATATACCGAGTAAGAATTAATAGAACACACAGCCAAACAATAGAAATCCATTGTAAAAATCAAGGTTTGAGAGATGTTTTCATTTATTCAGATTTCTTGAGTTCACAACTTGTGCGCGCTGAATATGACCGCTGAGTTGTTTTTGTTTGTCAAATCACTTATACCATATTCCAAGTGTATGCTCCGTGCCCTAGGGGGTCGGATTGTTCAGCTAGTTCCACTAGACTTGTCTAGAAGCACATACCAAGGCATTTGGCATCATAGCGATTGTGTGTGTTTGAGCTCTGAACATGTTAAGTTTCAAACTTCTGTCCGCACTGAATGTGAATGCTTGACTTTTGTGTAATCGCAGTAGTACTTAGCCCATATTCCAAGTGCGGGCTGCATGCTCTAGGGGTTGAGATTTTTTGTTTCAGGGTCCTGTTCAATCGGCGAAGGATATATTGTGAACTTGATTTTCGGCGACCTTGCTATCCTTTCAAATCTGACTTGCCTGATTTTAGCTTTTTTCCAAGTTTGGCGTCGATTTGCCTTGTTAGCAAGCTTTTCCAGTTTCAACAAGGACTTAGTGCTTTAGAGCGTACAAGAGTATATAGAGAAAGCTTGGAGACAGCTCCAAGGAGCTTAGTTTGCTGGAGAACACGATGCTGTTCGAAAGTCAACTTCGCTGAAACTGTGTATTTTACATGTAAGAATTAAAAAAAAAACGTTTCGACGTGCACTCCTCGCGGCGACTCTTTAAAGGGAGCGTCGGGCGGCAGCCGAACGTGGCTGCCCTTACTAGGCCCGAGTCTAGGTCCGAGAAGCAGGCGCTTCGCTCCATAGGGCCGAAGGTCTCGGTCTCCAGCAACGCGCGCGCGCGCGCGCGCGCGCGCGCGCTGGCGCGCGCGCGATAGAGGCATATGCATACGTATATAGACAAATGGTTCATATAATCGGGGGCCCCTTAAAAAGAACCTGAGGGAGGGGGGGTACCTTAAAGAACGTGCTTTTCAAGTTCTTTTAGGTGTTTCGGGGGGGGGGGGGTTCCCCCCTCTGGGTTCTTTTTCAAGTTCTTTATCAGGTGGGGGGGTACCCCTCCCCGGGTTCTTTTGTTGTAGCTGGTGGTGGTGGTGGTGGTGGTGGTGGTGGTGGTGCTGCTGCTGCTGCTGGTGGTGGTGCTGCTGCTGCTGCTGGTGCTGCTGCTGCTGCTGCTGCTGCTGCGATCTGCTGCTGCTGCTGTTGCTGCTGCAGCTGCTGCTGCAGCTGCTATCAGCTGGCGATAGGTACTAGCACTACTTGCGCATTGTCGTTGCTGTCGTCGTTGTCGTGCAGTGCAGAGGAGCAGCCGAAGCAACAACACCAGCACGAAGACCAAGACCACTACCCGTCTAGGCGGCTGTGGCGTCTAAAAAGTCGACGGACTGCGTGAGCCAGCTTGTCCCGCGAGCCACCACCGGCTCATGCAGTCTCCGGTGCTTCCTAAGTGTCATGAAGCACCCACTAGCATAATCTACTCACCCTTAAGCACCCGCAGTAAGGTAGGGTAACCCCACGTAGCAGCCTCGAAAAAGAACCTGGGGGGGGGAACCCCTTTACAAGAGATATGGCGAACCCACACCCAGAAAAGAACTTGGACACCTGCCTGACCCCCTGGGAAAAGAACCGAGGGGAGGGCCCCTCCCCCCCCCCCCCCTTAACAGCCCATGATTTCATATACGTATATCCATATTCCAAGTGCATGCTCCACAATGAAGGTGCCACGATATCATTGCCCGGAACATACGTGGAGAAATATATTGCGTTGAAAGCAATGTTTGCTTGATGTACATGTCGTTCATGTTTGTTTACTTACTCTATTCATAGCATATGTTGTTCAATGCTAATATTCCAAGTGCAGGCCCCGTGCCGCAGGAACCAAGGCATACTTGCCTCAACCACGTTTCGATGCGACAGCTGAAGCATCTTCACACCAAACGCATATGTTTATGGTTTCATGATTTGATATCTGTGTTTTTATGTATGCATTTCATATATTTTGTATTCTATCTGATGGTTTTTTGTCATATTCCAAGCGACCCGGTTTTAGAATATTTGGAATTGAAAAAAAAGGTTTTGAAAATTATCAAAACCATATTCCATCTCATTTGTTTTTTTCATATTCCATGTGCTGGCCCGCTAGTATAGGTGTTCTTTGAGTTCCTCAATGTCTAGTCCGTTTGAAGAGGAGCATCTAAGTTCATTGAAGAGCCTTTTTGCCCGGCTGACACAACTTTACCTGAAGATCAGCCTTACCTGTTTGACGGGCCTAGTGGCTCTCGTGGACGAGATGTTGGTTTCCTGCATCGTCAGGACGCCTCGTTTCGTCTTTCGCCCATCCAGTGTATTCGTGACCAAACCGACATCCAGTGGAGGCTTTTGAGCGAAGGAGACACATCTCCTAGCATTGCATTCGCTTCGTTTTACGCACCGCATGTTGGTTGTCAGGAGTCCGTGCGTACAGACTTCTGGCAAAGATTGTTTGCCTCTGTTGCTGATGTAGTTCGTGCTTTGCCAGGGGTTCTCCTCGTCATTGCTGGTGATTCTAATGTTTGGTTCCCGGGTCTCATTAACTCGCACCCTCCCCGAAACGCTGACCGCAGTTGTTTGGAGTTGATCCGGCTACTCCTTGATACGTTCAACTTGGAAATTCAAAACCAAGTAGAAGTTCCGACCCATCGGCATGGCGCCGCCCTAGATTTAGTGTTTGCATCTCCTGGTGTTGTGCATCATGTCGAAGTTCATAATGGCACGCATTGTCAATGTGAGGATCGTCGGATTTGCTGCCCATTGCTGGGTAGTGACCATTTTGCCTTAATGATAACATTGCATAAGCAAGCAAGCATTGTCCAGTGCAAACCGCCGCCTACCGTACACGTCCGTGATTGGCGAAAATTGTTGATTACGCAACAGCCTCAAATTATGACCCACCGCTGCTTCCAAAAACTGAGTTGCGCAAACGCTTGGATGATCTTTATGATCAGCTTCTGCACATGTTGTGGCATGCTGATGGTTCGCTTTACTCTCAATCAGGAGAGGACCCCCGCAAGCAACAACCGTCTTGGTGGAATGATGCGTGCATGAACGCTTTGCTTGCCCGCAATGCCGCTTGGCGTGAACGTCGTCGCAATCCCAGTGCCCAAAGCCAGACTACCTTCAGAGTCGCTAGGAATAACTTCCATCGTGTAGTTCGTGCGGCCAAGCAGTCGTTTTGGTCGTCTTGGTTGCAGGACCTTGAGGTTCTGACAACACGTTGTCCCCGTGCTGCTGCCCGTAAAGTTCGACGTCGCTTTCTTCGAAACACCGCTCGTGTTGCACGAGATCTGTGTCCAAGTTCTTCTTCCAACCCCAGTGTGCAACAAGCTTGTCTAAATGACTGGCGTGAGCATTTCAGGCATGTTAGTTTGCAGAATCCCGCAGGGTTCGACCATCGCCAGTATGCTCGTGTGCAGCGTCGTGTCAGACGCATTCGTGAGCTCAGACTTTCCTTATTGCTGCCTGGTAACTCCGGGGATCCTTTCTCGCTCCATGAATTGCAAACCGTGTTGGCCGGTTGTGCCTCAGGCAAGGCACCTGGTGTTGATAACATTCCGTATGAAGCTTTCCGTGTCGACCTTCCGTGGTGGACGGATGTGATCTTGCAGTTTCTGGAATTGTGTCGAATCTTTGCATGTGTCCCGTCCATTTGGAAACACGGAATCGTAGCTCCTCTTGCAAAATGTACGAACAGCCAGACACGTGATGATTACCGTCCTATAACGTTGACGTGTTGCTTTGCAAAAATTTTGGAAAAATTACTGTTGAACCGTATTCATCCCATGATCGATCCGTCACTTGATGAGTGTCAAGCTGGATTTCGGTGGGGATCCGACTTGCAAGTGTACTCTTTGATCGAAACCCTCCGCATGAGAGGAAACTCAACCACATTTTGCGCCTTCCTTGACATCCGCAAGGCTTTTGATGTTGCCTGGCGTGACGGTGCCTTGCTGCGTCTCTTCCGCGCCGGTGTTCAGGGAGGTGAATGGCACCTTTTTGATGATCTACTTTCTGATCGGACTGCAGCCGTCCGTGTGTCTTCTTTGCTTTCTAACGATTGGGACGTTGATGAGGGCATCGGCCAGGGAGCCGTCCTTAGCGGTTTCCTCTTCAACGTTCTAATAAATGGTTTGGCATCTGCAATCAAGCGTGCCTGTCGCGGAGCGTCGTGCCGCGTATCCAGCTCCAGCACGTTGTGTGTCAAAATTTTGTTGTATGCTGATGACATTGTAATTCTCAGTGAAAACCAAGCAGACTTGCAGAGAGCTTTAAATGCAGCGGCTGCGTGGGCTAGAGCTTGGAGATTTTGTTTCGGCACTGGCCCAAACAAAAGTGCAGTGATGTGTTTTGGCCGGAGGCCCCCTAATCTTACTTCGCTGCATTTCCACATCGGTCAGCAGCCCTTGCCAATTGTTCGTAATTATACATATTTAGGGGTTGTGCTTCATGATCGTCAGCGTTGGAGTGATCATGTCAACCATGTGTTATCCCGCGGTGAGCAGAGAGTTGCTGCTTGCATGTCGTGGACACAATCGAATTCCCAAGATTTGCCGCTGAGTTTTTGTAATCAGGTTTTCAATGCGTATGTGCGTCCTTCCGTTTTCTTCGGATTGGAATTTGTTGCCGAGGACCGTCAGCTACAGCGTGTGAACACTCGTTTATTCCAATGGGGACGCCGCTTGCTGATGTGGCCGCGTGGTGCCCCAACTGCGGCCGTTCAGGGTCAGCTTGGTTGGTTTGATGCCCATTTCTCCCACTTACTTAGTGCTGCGGGGTTATGGGCACGCCTACTCTCCATCCCAGGCAGATGTATAGCCGCAGAGGTTGCGCGTATTGCCTCTGAATGTCCCGGTTCTTGGGTTCATAGTCTCCAAAATGAGCTGATTCCGCTCGGTGTTTCTCATCCAGAAACTTGGAGTGTAGGACGTGGTGCTAGCCAATCAGTGGTTCGACGCTGGTTGCGCCATGTGCGTACCGTGTTAGTTTCGCATTCCAATGCGTGGTACTCCGCTGCAGTCCGCGGCATTGAAACTCTGCACGATTATGCACAGTGGCAGCCGCACCTCGGCTTGCACCCAGTGGTTTATGGCCGGCACGTGTCTCCTGCACATGCTCGCTACTGGGGGTTAGCTCGTTGTGGGCATCACCCCTTCTGTGATGGGCGAAGCGCTCGCCATCAAAGCATTGCAGCCAGACCTTGTCGGTTTTGTGCTGGTCACTCAGACACTCTTGCACATGCTCTCCTTCATTGCTCAGCGCACCAAGCCTTGCGAGAAAGGTGGCGTTCTCGAGCCAGATCGGGGCGAACGTTGAGTTTGTCGACGCTGTTCTGCACCTCCGCCGTCACCAATCGTGCTCGTGAAATTGCCAACAACGTGTCCTTTGTCGCTAGCGTGTGCCAAGCCGCTGAAGCGTGTGAAATGTGAACGCTTGTGCTGGACAACTGTGAGTGTGAGTGGCTTGACGTTGTAGTCGTAGTTATTCTTGTGCAGTTGTACAAACGCTTTTTGCTTAGTTGTGTAGTGTTTCACGTTCTGACCATGCCTCATGGTCGTTCAAGGACAGGACTCTGTGGTACCACCCCACGAGTTCATTCTCTTACCACATCTCCGAAACCTTTCCTAATTCTAACAAGCTTACCCCATCAAATGTGTGCATGATGGAGGATGCCGTTGAAAGAGCAGGCATGCTTGGATACTGAGTTTCTTTCCCTTTGGATCAGGCTGGCCTGAATCCAGCCGCTGTGTCAGATGTGGCGGTGCTTCCATGCCAGGTGGTGATACTCAGCTTTAGTCAGCAGCAGAGAAGGTTTTTGCCTCGTTTCTTTTCCTCGTTGTGCACGGTGCTATGCTCTATGGGGTTCGTGCATACTTCCCAGTCAGCGTTCTACAACGTCACGTGTCAAATCGAGACCTTACAAGACGTCTTATATGATCCGCATCGATACATCTGCAGTGTTACTACATGCCACAGCTTGTGCCTTTCAAGAATTTACCGAAGCGTGCTATACCTTGGCCACACAAAGACGGGTCGCCTTTCAACTCAGCACGCAAGTTTTCCACACAAAGCCAGAAGCCAGACGTTTGCAGTCGAAGTTGCGGCCTTGGCTCCCTGTACGACCTCGTGCACGTCTCCTTCTCTCGGTCACAGACGATTAAAGCAGCCACGGATGCTACTTTTTTAGCGGGTGTTCTCTGACATTTCCATGTACCGTGTATGAATCAGGAGCGGAAGCAAAGCACCAGTATCTTGTTGCGTTGACGCATGTTGCATGTCAAGCGAAGCTCTACTTTGCACGCCGGATCTACTGCAAGCACTAGTCAATCTGCCGTCCTCAACAGCGCCGTGCCCGCCGATGCATCAATCGAAAAGCGCGCAACTCTCCGTGGAGTAGTGAAGTTGCAGGAGTCTGCGCGACGGGCCCACTTGTGTGGAGTCGACAGCCGGTCTAAACAGCCAAGGATCGGCCAACCCGTGTCGAACCAGGAGCTGATGAACGAGTCTGTGCTGATGAAGGAAACTTCGCGCTGGTAGTACTTTGGTATACTGGGAAGATCATGGGATTGAGTAGCAGGGTTACAATAACAGCTACGAGCTGCGACCATGGTGTGGTTGTTGCACCAGTGGCAGCGGTGCTTGTGGCGGCACTCCTCGTACTAGGAACTCGTGCAGCAACGCATGAGGGTTATGCCGGTCTCGGGAATAAATAGATGCCCCTTCGCAGTCTTGTGACGCTCCACACCCGAAGTGATGCTGTTTTTGATATCTTGTGCAGGCCGAGGCCATACCAGGCAATGCTCGTCTATTTTGATTTTCATCAGGAGACCAACCTCCCGAATTGCATTGGGGAGACCAATCTCGACCAGGGCGAGGTGCAGGATACCGGTGGGGCCGGCACTGGAGGCGATGTTTCTGATGGGCACGGCCCCAGTGGATGTGGCACCGAAGGTGCTCCTGGCGGGCAGTGAGGTGGTGGAGGAAGGGTTGCCAGGACCAATGTTGGGATCCACGAAGTGGATCTCCCAATGTTGTTTGTGCAGTTGGCTGTGTATTGCAGGCCATTTTCCGTGTGGCCTTCGCGGCTTCCCAATCCATTTCCGACGGACGGTGCTTCGGTTGGCAGATGTCTAAAGCAAGGGCCGAGTAAGCTGCCTGTTTTGTCGATTCTTGGAATGCAGGTACTGTAGTTTGTGTACATCATTTCGCTGAGTCTGGCAGTGTCAGCAGCTTGTCCATGCATGTTTTGCATCGCGCAGTGATTTGCCTCAAGCAGCCCGGACTCGCCATGAAGGGAAGTTACTTACTGTGGCTGTGTGGGTTGGTGCGGATTGTCCAAAGTGAGATATCCAACCAATCCTTTGAGACAGCAGTGAACACGTCCATCAGTGCTGGCGGGCAGCCCCTGGTTGTCGCAGCCTCAGGCTGCAAGCCCGGGGCAGTGGGCATGTGTGTCGTTTCTGATGATTGCCCGGGTTGCCTGTGATTTGAGCGTGTGTAAGGTGGTCACCTACAACTTGTATTGGTGGTGCGTGTCGGACGAGTACGGGAACTGCCCGCAAAATAAAGATGGGAAGGGATTCCAGAAGTTGTTCGCGCGAATACAGCAGAACGGCCCGTTTGACCTTATTGGCTTCCAAGAATGCGACGACGTAGGTCGCTTGCTCTGAAACATGCTCACATGCTCCCTAGATGTGTTTGCACATGATGCGTGCGATCAGGTAAAGTCATCGGTGGGACCAGTTTAGCCGCCAGCTTTGAGTACTACACTCCTAAGAAAGGCCGGTGAAACTTTATGATGCCGGCTGTTCTCATGGAGCTGGAGTTGGATGCCTGCCTTGTGCATGTAAGCCCAAGTTTTCCAATTGTTTGTCAGGCAACGACGCCCCCATGGCGTGGCAGCACTCTAAGTTCATTGCAATCGAAGGGCCTGGCACGGCTTGGATCTCCAGGCACATCTGCTGGTTAAGGAAGCCTTTGCTTCGCGAGGGTCTTGCGCAATCCCTCCACAGTGCTCTTAAGGCAGGTGTTTGTACTTCCGTCGCAGGGACAAGTACGGAGACCGCCACATGAACTGGGTTCGGCTCCAGGCACCGCTCGTTTTGCTATTGTTGGGGTGCAGTCCAGTTGTTTCATTGCCAGGTCATTGGCAGCGCAGCTACAATCTTCTTTGCGAATACGACTCGTCCACAGCACTTTTCAACCTGTAAGCTCAGCTGGCTTGTTCGTGTATGTTTGCCAAAGGACAATCCCAAGCTCAGGCACGGACCCTTAGATCAATGCGGTGGTGGACCTGGTGAAACAGTTGCCTCCAACTACGCAGCCTGGCAGGATACCTGACTCTTCTGTTAAGTGAGGGAGGGAGCTTTGAACGCACAGCTGACGGTCGACGTCGTGACGCGGCTTCGTCCGTACCTTTGCACAAGATTTCGCTTGTTCCTTAGGTCAATGCGGTTTACAGCCACAAGAAGCCGGGCGATGCTTGCCATTCATACGATAGGCTGTCCGCGAGAAGCTAGGAAGTGTCTGCAGTTTCTGGTAGCCCGATACCCCCGTAACGTAAGTAAAGGATACGAGTATACCTCGAAGCAGAGCACCCAGCCTTTTGGCGTAAGGAATGTTTCTAAATCAAGGGGTATCGGGCTTTCTGGGTTGACATTCCTGAGGATCTGGTCGTCTTCACTGGCGACTTCAATTGCGGCCAAAACCAAGACACAATCAAGAAGCTAGCTCAGGTTCGGCTACGGAGTCAGTGAGTCACACCATGTCTTGTCTGCGATGGCCTGTTCGGTCGTGTAAGCTGCAGGCGTTCGAGCTTGATGTCAGGGGCTTATGTCAACTTATGTCTACCCTTTGCACCGCATCTGGACGTGCTGATGAAGACCGCTTGCTTGTTCTCTGTAAGGCCACAGACACTTCGTACAACGGTGCCGACCACATCTTCAGCAGTGGGGGTACCAGAGTCTTGTGGAAAGGCTCCAGCTGCTTGCCGGCAGGAGCTCGTACTCAGAGACCCCACTCCGGTGTTGTGGTTGTACCAGACGCCGACTTGAATGTGGTCTCTGCAGATCTAGCAAGTTTAACGAGTTCTCATGCATAGTCCGATGCAGTGGTGGTGTTTTTTTGTTCATTTTTTCGCCGGGGCGGTTGTGCATTTCTTGTCCGTTTCCGGTTTGGTTTAAGCAAGCAAGCGAACAAGCAAGCACGAGCGCGCGCGCGTGCAAGCAAGCAACCAATCAATCAAGCAAGCAAGGAAGCAAGTAACGCACGCGGCAGGCAGGGCAAATTGAAGGCCAAAGATTGAGCCCGAAACACAAGACCAAGCGCTACACTACAGCCTTGGCATCCGATCTCCTGCCTCAGCATCTCTCTGTCAAAGCTTGGCGGCTCCAGCGTCAAAATCATCAACCGCAGATTGTAAACCTTAAACCTTGCCCTAGTGCGAGGGCGGAAACTAGCGCTGTGGATGTGGAGCATGTCTCTGCATCGCATGTCGTCACATGCTTGTCAGTATGCTGAGCCTGCTTCTGAAGAACGGCTTGCCGGCAAAGCTGCAAGGAACTGAGGTGAGAAAGAAGCGGCATCAGAGCCACAGGAGTCAAGTTTTGAAGGGATGGAGGAGTGAGATGGTGGGTTTCTAGATGGGGTTATGAGGTCCCCAAGTTGCCGGAACCTTGCCAAAAACCCTCAACTGTCGGAACTGAAACCATGAAGCGTGCTAAGATCCTAAGCACTGCTAATGCAATACATGAGGCTTCCTTCATGTACAGGCCACTTTGTACAAATACCAAGAGCACACACGGAAAGCGATCAAAACGCATAGAGAGCACACCACTAATCTGGCGACCTTCAATGCCCTCCAGCGTAGGTCACTAGTAAGTACCGAGATAGCCAACCCTGAATCGAATCAACGGTGAGTGTTGGAGAAGCGTTTCAGGGTGTCAACCGGAATTTCGTCCCTTGGCCCCGTGCAGTGGGTCCATCGCATGATCAAGGTGTTCTGAACTATACGAGAGAAGGTAGTCGAAGCATACATGGGAAATGGGACAATGCTTCAGCGAGGTATCTCAATCCCCCAAGCTTTGTGCAACTGGGTCTTGGCTCTCTTCTTCTTGTCTTTGCCAATGTTGCTATGGCATTGTAATTTGTAATTATTGAGGCGGTGCTTACGACTTTGGGACCTATATTATCTGTCATATGCTATACTCTGTATAATGTATACTTTATATTACATCTTACACCCTGTATCCTATATCTTTACATTTTTGCGCCTTGGGCTCGGATGAGGTCCCGGCTCGCCCTCCGACCACCAGCTCCTGAAGGCCTCTTTGAGGATGCCCCGGGCTTGAGGTTTTGAAACCCTAGATCCTGAACCCCAGGTTCGGCGTGACGGAAAAGGGCTGTTAAAATAAAACCCTAGGTTCGGGTGTAGGCGACGAGGCAAGGCTGTGAGGTTTGGGGGACTTCTGAAGCGCCCTGAAGATGCGTAGGCAAAGTCGCTCGCAGGGGTTGGATCGAGGTGTGAGTCGTGATTCCAACGATGACGTGTTGATTCAAGAGCGACTCCCTGTGCGGCCCTTCCCCACCAGCCCCACGCAGGATAGGTGCTGACATGTAGGGGAGAACGTGAACTTGGCACCCGGAAGAAGGGTTTTCCCATACCTGGTGTCGTCGGTTTCTTTCCTCGCACCAGTTGTGTTTCTTGTTAGTTGCTGACTGAACGGTTGCTGCTGTAGCTGTCCTTCCAGCATCTTTGTTTCAGTTCAGTTTGTGTGGTGTGATGAATTATCCCTGCCCGGCCCTGTCCTGAGTTGAAGCTTAGGTCGGGCCTGTCTCATTCATCGCCGCCTCTTCGATTCTGGCTTTGAGTCTGTCTTCTCAAATTTTTGCTGATTGAATGGTCTGCAGATGTCCGTTGCATTCCGTTACCATAGAGGTTGTGCCTTGGGGTTATGCCTTGCTCTGCGGGATTCGTAAGGATGAGCGGTCCCAGAGAGCCCGATACCCCTTAATTAAGGAATATGGCTTAAATTATATAGGGCTTCATATTACGATTTAGGCTATATTCCTTAATTAAGGGGTATTGGGCTCTGTTGGGTCGCCCGGCCAGGCTGTTCTGGAAGCGTCGGCGCCGAGCCCTCCAAGCCCTCCGAGCCCTCCAGCGCCCCACCCGTCTGGCTGCCCGGTGCCACCGGACAACGGGCCGGCTGGCTGAGTTTATTTCGTTAGGAGACGAAGTTCGTTGAGGTTCATTCTTGGATTCCTAGACTGCAGCAGTTTCTTCTTCTTTCGGGTGGGATGGTGCCGAAATGAATGGAATGTGGAGAGTTTGTGGTGAGCGGAGCTTTTATACCGTGCCCTTCTGCCAGGGGCTGTTGCACCAGCTGCAGCGACTCGACAGCAGGGAATCAGTCATCGAAGTTGAATCGCCCAATGCCGACGGCTTTGTTTGACACATCTTCACCCAAGCCGTGCTGTTGCGCTTTGGACTTCGTCCAAACAAGACTGGTTTTTTTGTCTCATCTTTGTTTTGTTCTTTGTGCCCAGGCAGCAATCACTATTGCCCGAGCAACAAGGACTGCACGCGTTCGTTAGCGACCGTCAGTGTTGTGCGCAGCATTTCGAGCTAACATCTTCGTTAGTACACGTCGGTTTCCGGTGAAGCCCCCTGATAATGACAGGGTTGCTACTCCACTGGCCAAAGTGGCTGCATTGGCGGCTACTGTCCTGCACCGGCTGTAGAGCCTTGGCCACGGCAGAGTGTGCTAGAAACGTGTTTGCAGACGTGATGATCTTTTGCTCATCTGAGGAAGAAGTCCTTGTGTGACTGCGAGCCGCGGGGTGTCAGCGCTGTTTACGTCACCTGGTCTGCCCTCATTTGCACATCTTCCAGACACTGGGAGGTAAGAGTGCAGCCGTGCAGCCTCTTGGCCGACACTCTGCCGGAGGGCGCTTGGCTCATCCGCGAGTGTCGCGATGGCGGGTGACGGAAAAAGAGCACGCAGCCTTTGTTGATGACTTTGCCATGCTGCTTTATATTCCGGGGCGGTGACGGTGCAGCCTGCCGCACTTCCGAAGGGGTGGCTCATGAAAGTAGGGACCCCAATTGAATTCCACTCCCCAACCCCCCCATCGTACTCTTATAAATAACCCTGAAAGGAACACTTATAAGGCCCCTTTCTATAGAAGAACTGTAGAGGCAAAAGGCGCTTCAAGCGTGTCGACATCGGCTCATTGGCACACCCCACATATGCCACGGCAACTACTGGCGAAGCACACGCACCGTAAGCTTGGATTAAGCCCTTCCCAGAACTCCAAGCGCCAAGCATCTGAACACATCTGATTCACAGAACCCAAATTACATGTCGGGAAAAGATTCCACCAGAAGCAACAATCCGTCGAGCCGTAGTTGCCATTGTTGCGAAACCAATCTCCCGAGCCCTGACCTCCCATGCATCCCCGAACCCCCATACTAATAATAGTAATAACAATAATAACAACAATAACAATAATAACAACAATAATAACAATAATGAGCTGGCAGAGATCCCCAAGCAACTCCAAGTTCCGGAGCCTTTGAGCCATGGCCTATTTGTTCAACCCTCCGAAGTCTGAGCCTCGTTGGGGACTAGGCTTCGGGCTTCTCGCTTTCGGGTTCATGAAACCCGATGTCCACAGGCCGTCGGGGATTCACAGGGAACAGGTCACTGGAACAGGAAAACGCAGGACTCAGGAAGGGAGAGCGGCAGCAAGACGGCCGAAAGATCCCGCCACCCCTAGACAGGCAAGACAGGCATGCAGGTACCAAGTAACAAAGGAAGGCATCTACATGAAGCTTGGGTGCCGCATTGCCACATGCACATCTAAAGACATGCAAAGCTGTGATCTGTCATGCAAGTGTCCGGCATGTAGGTACGCAAGGTTCAGTCACAGGTTTTGGGAGATTAAGGTGCTTCCGTGCTCGTACTGCTAGCACGGCAGGTTCCATATTCAAATAAGTACACAGATCTCGCATTCATCCCGGTCGCAGTCTTCAGCTGTACTAGTAGCGTTCTAGATACAGAAGATTGGCACTTTTCACCAGTCCTGTAGGATCTGTTTGTCTTGAGTTGAATGATGAAGTAGTTTTAGTATCGGTGGTTCATTGTTTGATAGACTGGATGTGTCCGCCCATTCTAGCCTGCAAAATTCATGCATACATACTGGCATACAGAGAATTCAGCCTCAAGAATTCAACGTAATTGGCTCCAAGGGATTCCTCGACTTCAGGTGGAAGTGTCGAGGAGTGAGGAGCGTCCTTGCAGACCGACTTGGATGGCACAAATCCTTCCTTGAAATTGCACGTGTGTGGGCCCAGCCCCGATTGCCAGCGAGCGGACAATTAAATAAGCTGTTGACTGGCCCAAAGGCTTGGCAGTTCTACAGATTCTTGTGCCTGAGCACAAGCCGAGCGGGTCGAAGTCCAGACTCTCCAACCCTTGGCACCGAAGCATGTCCAACTTGACGGTTCAGGGTGGAAGGCCTACGGTAGCGCTTGGGCTTCTCGCAACCATTCGGCTTTTGATCTTTGGATCCGTCGCTCTCAACTCGTGGTTGGTGCTTCCTTTGCTGACTCTCAACTAAATTAACTTCGGGCCCAGGCGCTGCAGCACCGAGTGGGAAACCGAGGACACTCTTGGCGAGGTGCCAGGGTAAGGAGGGGCTGAAAGAGGTCTGTGAAACTGCTAGTCCAGAAGCCTAGCAGCCACGGGAGTAGGATGGAGTGATAGGAGCTATAGTAGGAGAGTAGGCGTAGGGGTAGCCTTAGGTAGGATGTGGTGTTTATAGTAGTGAAGTAGTGGTAGTAGTGGCAGCAGTGTTAGTAGTGGTATTTGTGGTGGAAGTGGTAGTAGTGGTAGAAGTGTAGTGGTGGTGCTGGTGCTGTTGCTGGTGCTGTTGTTGGTGCTGGTGGTGGTGGTGGTGGTGGTGATAGAAGAAGCAGCAGCAGCAGGAGAAAACGTTGCATGCGCTGCTGCTTGTGTTTCGAGCACCAAACAATGAACGGCGTAGCCATCAGGATTGTCGGCAACACGCATTCTGAGGTGCCAGCGGGTCATGCAGCAGAGGCAGCGCGAATTTCTTGTTGTTGTGTCATGATTTCTCAGCATCGGCCCAGTTTGGTGCAGAGGTGACCAGCTAAGGGAGCTAACTCACGAGCGCACTCTGCCGCAGACGCAGTTTATACATCAGACTTTTCATTTTTCCATGCTGTCACTATTTTCCGTTGACTTGTTGACATGAAACCGCATCCTCTAGGCTCCGACAGCCAAATGTGCAGTAGACATGTTTAAATTGCCAGCGAGTTTCCCCTCATGGGGTTGAGCGCTGCTTGATTGCAGTTAGCGCAGGGGTTGTTGGTTTAAGCCGGCTGCAAAACAAATTCGCGATATCGAGCCGCACCAGAGCGCAAGGACTGGCACGAGAAGCGAATCGATTTCTTCAAGGTCGGGATTGTTCCCCTCAGACTGCAGGAAGAGAATGAATTCGTTGCAGTCCTCAGTGGCTTTCAGCGTCACAGGTTGGCCACACCATGTACGCGGAGACTCCTTCCTTGTCAACGCTGATGACAGGCACGGAGCACTAAGCAAGAGCGGAATAAGCAATGTATGCGTGCATCAACGATTAGTGCCAGTGCGAGCTCTTAGTCCAGCTCATGTGCAACAGGCGACGTTTCCTCCGGTGTGAATTGGCTGGCCTGTTGGACGCCTCGGACTTGGTTCTTGAAGCTTCAGAGGCCGTTCCTTCTGTTTGGGAAGCCACAGGCTGATAGCAGCTTGTCTCATTGCCGCCGCTGGTGCGTGGCTTGCGAAGCGGCGCAATGCACCATCCCATTGTGGCGCGGCAGAGTTTGGGTTGCTTCTCCAAGATGTTGTGACTTCAGATTCATCTCGTGTGTGACACTGTGTGGCCTGTTGTGCACTTGTGCTGAGGTGTTAGCCAGCCTGACGGGGCGGCCGTGCGACGGCGTAAGCCAAGCGAAGACACCGCACAAATCTTCGAGAGCAACGTGCCCGAGGATATCTCGAAGGAGCGAGCAAAAAGCTTGCCCCTTGAGAGATCTCAAATCCAAGCTCTGCTGAGCTTCTGAAGGACTACATGGAGATCACATTGGAGAGATCTCAGAGAAGCGAGTCCTGGGGCTTCGTTTGGCACGTCCAAGCCTTCGAAGCCCAAAGGCTGCTCGTCGCTTTCGAAGGGCCCTGCAGTAGTGGCACCAGAGCGTACTGAGTTGGAGTCTGCAGTCGCACAGCATCCCGACAGCGCTTCCGAGGTTTCTGATCGCTGGCTTGGAGGCAAAGTCTCCAGCCGGCCGGCTCAAGGATCGTCAGGCACAAGGCCCGGATGCTCCGGATGAGTCAGACGTCATACGAGATGTGAGTGGGCTTGCGCAGTGGGCATCTTTCAATTTCATTTGCCTTGCCCTGATGAGGCCTGCGCCCCCTCCGGCGAGGTGATGAGCTGGTGAGCGTGAACGGGGCGTGCCACTTTCAGTCAATGCGCCGCCATCTGGCGCGGGCAGAGAAGGTTCGCCTCCAATTCCTGAAGGCTGATCTCGTCCTTCCCCTGGAGTGTGACAGCGGCGACTGTGATAGCCCGACCGCGGCGACCACGAAGCCTGGCCCAGCAGCGGCTCCATCGCAGGACTCGACTCGGAGCCCCAGCTCCCAGCCGAGCCAGCCTAGTCAGACCCAGCCCAACGAGAACCACCCGGCCGACCCAAGCCCAAACTCTCCCCAAGGAGAGGTTGCAGAGGTTGCAGGCATGCAGTGCTCCACTGCCTTTTGCGCTGTTGAGCATAGCATGCCGGCACTTCCGTTTCCCTCCGACTCCCTCAGCCATGTCCCCGACAGCACCCCCGACAGTATCACACAGCCTGCACCTGCAAAGGTCCGGGGAAGGGACACCGCCGTGAAGAGAGCTGACGTACCTAACTGGTGTAAGGAAAAGCGAAAGTCTCGTCGACATGCTTCCACGGGTGCAGAAGAAGAAGGCTGGGCCAGCGATCTTTCTCGCTGTCTTTCAATCGGATTCTGTCCTTCTGCTTGCATGCTCCATGTGGCTGCAGGCCGATTCTCCGGCAATTCCTCGGGATCTGGTTCCGAGCAGGTCTCCGGCGAGAGCAAGTGCCCCTCCACAGATTGGGAGTACATGATGGACAACAGGCCCGGCAGCTTGCTCCACACGGAGCTGACCAGGGAGCCCCAGGCCAACCAGCAGGCGGCCCTCCACACCCTGCCAATGGCAGGAAGCGTGGGCCTGCATGGGGACTTCCATGCTGGCAGCAACGTCGTCATCGTAGCTGGCTCCCAGGCCATGGCATTGCAGACAGGTGCCCTGAGCACTGTGGTGGGCGGCGGCCTCTTCCAGCCACCGCAGCTCCCACAGCTTCCACAGCTCCCTCAGCTCCCGCAGCTCCCGCAGCTCCCACAGCTCCCACTGCCACAGATCCCTCTCCTGCCCCAAGCGCACATCCTGTCCCAAGCCCCTGCAGAAGCCTCGGGCCTGGCTGTGCCTTCTGTGCCTTCTGTGCCTTGCCTGCCTGTGCAAGAGGACTACGTGCAAGGGTTCCCCACCAGGACAAGTGGGCAGGTCGCAATGCCACAGCCCACCTCTGCCTCCCTTTCCCAAGCGCTGCCACAGCAATCCCAGGCATCCCAGGAGTCCCAGGAGCCCAAAAAAGTCGCGACGCCGTCTCGATCAGGAAGTGCTCCTCCAAGATCTTGCTTTCTGGAGCCAGAGCAGCCCGAGCGGCCCGGCGGGCCCAAGAGAGAGGGCCTTGGCCTCGGCAAGAAGCGGACCTACCGTTCCGGAAAGCGGATCCGAGCCAAGCGCACCCGCGCCGCCCAGCGGGCGCAGGAAGGGGTCCAAGTCCTCGAAGGAGGCGAAGCAGCCGAGGCAGGGGAGGCAGGGGCAGGCGAGCCTCTTAGCCAGCGCCCGCGCGCTGGCAGTGCCCCGGCTGCCCTCCGCAGCCTGGAGCTCAGGCTGGAGAGCTCTGAGAAGGGCTACTACAAGCCACGGAGGCGAGCTGGGAAGAAGGTGCGGCAGCGCATGGAGCATGCCATCGCACGCAGGAAGGAGCAGGCCCTCATGGCCGAAGCAGCTGAAAACTGCAGGATGGTCTCGGATGACGAGCCGGAGCCCAACGAAGCTCCGGTCGAGCTGCGACCTGCAAAGCCTGTGCCCGTGCCTCCCGTGCCTCACGCGAAGCCATCGCAGGCTTGCCAGAAGCGGGCAGATTCCCCGACATCAGTTTCAACTTGTACCACTGCTGCGGCGACCATGGTATCTGGAGTTGCCAGTACGACCACGACTGCTACTGCTACTACCTCCGGCTCCGCCTCTGCAGGTTCCGAACGAGTTGCAACGCGCCGGTCCTTCTATGCCCGGAAGCTCGATGCGCCTGCTTTGCCGACGATGCAGGAAGGGTGTAGGCTGCCGGCACCGGAGCCAGAAATGGCCCCTTGGCAAACATCAACTACCCTAGGCCCATGGCATCTTTAATTCATGCATCTTAGAATTTGCATCTCCTCTCGACTTGAGGCCCAACACGGGAGGCCGACGGCTCAAAGGCCACAGCGCAGGGCCTCCCGCACGCGAGCTCCGAAGGCAGGCCCAGAGCTTCCAGGCCCCGCCATGCTCCTCCGTGGTTCTTGCTTTTCGGGTCTACGGTCTACTACAGACTTAAAGCTCCTATAGCTATAGTCTATAGATAACCTATAGTAGAAGTATAGAGGGACTGTAGTTGGGCGGATGCTGTTATCATTCATCCAACGATCTGAGCAAGGAGCTTCCGAGATCGTTGGCCAGCGGGTGCTTCTTGCCGGCCTTGTCCATGCACCGCACCTCGGAGACTCCGTGTCATATAGATGTTGTGATTACATGCATGCACACACACACACACACACACATATATATATATATATATATATATATATACATACACATATGTATAGGTGTATGTTTGCATGCATCGCTCTACACTATCATATATTCGAGACTGACGGATTCATCCGTTGCGTCAGTGAACAGTAAAGAAGGGGCCTTGAAGCAGGCTCAGCACACACAGGGAACTTGGATGCGCATGACTTGGCTGATCTTGGCTGCAATGACACTTTCTTTGATGGAGTACCGAGGCACTTTAACGGCCATTGGGGCTACGTTGATGGATTTGACACAGACCAGCAGCGCTACATCGTGCGGGTCTTCTTGGGTGAGCCAGGGACGCCGCCCACGCTCGCGACCTGCCTGCATGGTCGGATTTGTCGTCCATGAGATATGGTTGATTGTATCTCCAACAGATCCAACAGTTTACAGTCCTCAATCTTAACAGTTCACCTGCACAGGCAGTATAGCACCTGCCCGGACAGCATGCCTGGAGTGACCGCAGCATGTGGCAAGCAGAGACAAATTGTAAATTTGCATTGCGACGGTAATTCCTGGCCCTCCACGACCACGGCCAACACCAGTACTGCTACCGCTACCCCTACCACTGCCTACTAGTACTACCAACACTGTTACCAGTACCACCGCCAAGAAAACCAACTGTTACAGCAAATGATGCCATAGTGTCCCCGAACCATGGCCGACATCGAGCTCTTGGGCGTGCGGGACGTTTGCAAAGACTATCTGCGCGAGTTTTTGAACAGTGCATGGTGGTCAATCCTCAGTGATGCAGGATTCGAGCAGGAGGACATTCGTCCACAGGACGACCCTCTGAAGGAGTGCATCTTCGCCGCTGATGGTCCAGTGACGCTCCGATTCTGCACGCCCGATGCTGCATCTTTAGCTCTTTCCTTGAATGGTCTCCAGTACTGCGGCCGTGCGCTGCAGTTCCGGAGGCCCCAGGGGGCCCCTCCCGGTCCCATTCCCTTGCAGGCTTCGAAAGTTCAAGTGGAAGATCTTCAGAAGATTCTGGGCTTCCAAAAGGAAGCCTTTGCCATGCCTCAAGGCTGGCAGGAGACGATTTGGACTGGTGACGGTGTCATGCAACTGCTGGACAGTTGGTCAGAGACGCTACCAAGAAGTCATTATGACATCTTGGGCATAGACCGCCAGGCCTCTAAAG